TTATTTTTTAGATTTTTCAATGGATTTAGGCGCTGTTTTAGTGTACAGTCCACTGTAAAAGATAGTTAAGAGCCCCTCAACTACTTAAAGGTACGCTAAAATCTCGTTCAAAAAGTTCGGTCGCGGTAGGATCATTGGGCTCTCTGCCGCAGCCAACCCAGCCCCTTCTTATCGCCTCTCCCCTTCCCCCGGCCCATCTCCCCCTTGGCCTAGTGGTCCAAGGCGCTGCCCCAAGCTGGCAGTCAGGCTTCGGTTTTGCGCCGCGGCGAGCGCCTACCGTAACCCTGTTTGCTATCCTGCGGACGGTTACCGGCCGGTAACCAAACCAACGAGACTTTAGTGTACCTTTAATTAGACTTATACTTAGGTTAGTCTTAGGCTCCATAAATCTTAGCTTACCTGATATGACGGTCCTCCACTGCCACCACCCGCAATCGGCATCACAAAACATGGCACCAATATTAAGGGTATAACGATAAGTACATTCAGCATCCCAACCCCGACTCCCGTCCTCGCATATTGAACAAAATTCTCGTAGAGCGAGCCGCCGCCGTTTTCCCTTGCCGACCCTGTGGAACTGCCCGCTTTCTGAACTTCCTGTGGGGCCGGGTCGAGGTCCGGCAACCTGAAAAATTTTTCGATTGTGGAGCTAGCGCAGCAAAATACAGGTCGTCCGCCCAAAATAATTAAAAACAGGAGCGTGGGGCTAGCAGTTTCCGAGATGGAAATTTTCTGTGCCTTTCTAGGGCTTGGATTACAAACGGGCAGGCTGGTACGGATTTCGGGAGAAATCGGCAGAGACATGGGTTTTGTTCGCTTAAAACAAAGAGCGTTCCAGCCGGGTTGGCTGCTTTGTACGATCGGGGTTTGAGATGAGTAAGCTAGAGATATTTTGGCACAATGTAGGGAATTGCGTAATTGACTAAAAAGACCTATGTACTGTTTCGCAGTAAGTGTATAAATAAGTGTTTATGTATAATAACTTGAAATTTTCTATGAAATAGACGCGGTCATCGATCAGAACCAATGGACGACATGGTAATGCATAAGGCATGGTGGTCGAGAGGAAAATTGGTCAGGCACAAAGAGTGCCTCTTGGCCAGGAGCACTTCGAGGTCATCGGGGTGGCAAGGAGCAAATTGGCAAAAAAATTGAGACAATTTTTATGTAATACTGCTTGTGATTTTCTAGGGCTTTAGAAGAATATCACACAGGAAAAGTCGAGCTCGATTGTTTAAATGGGCTCGGAAATCAAGATTCGCGGATGCCGGGATTGCGCCTACAGGTCAAAAAAACGAAAGGGTCGATGCCGAGAAGTACCAGAAGAATGAGTTCGCTGCGAAAACCGCAAAATATTTGAGTAAAAGCGAAATCCTCTTGGGACAAAAACGTGTTTTGAGTGCGCGGCGATTACACGTCGTAATGCCTTGTAAGGAGTCCAATCTCTCGATCTCGGTGTTCTCTGGTCAACTTTAATAATTAAAAAGTCTAGAATGATCAAAATTAGATGAGGATCCCAGAAATATCGTCAGAATTTTGAAATTTATGCGTTTTCACGTCGAAACAAGGGCAAAAGATCATGCGGCGCAGTCGCGTTGCGGTCGCATCTGGCTATTTGCCAGCAATCAACGCAGGGGGACTTGGAACAGATTTCGGAGCCCCTTTAAGGGAAGATCTGTACCTAATCGGGCTCAAAAGGATGTGTTGAAAGCAGAAAATATACGCCACAAGAGCAAAGGCCGAAATAAGAAGATTTTTCGGGTTGCAAATGGTACGAGCATAAATGCATGCCTTCCGGCAGCCGCCAAAGTCTAGCACAAGTACGCCAAAACCGGAAAATTAGTTGCCATCGCGCCCTCGGGTTGTTTGGGTGGGGAACGGCCGGCCTGAAGTTCAGGTGGTTTCTGTAGGAAAACGGAGTTAGAGCCCAAATTCCTAACGTACTGCTTTGATCTTTAACGCTGATCTTAAGCGTAGATACCCAATCTTAGTATGGCCGTCGAAATTTGGCAATTTTTTTTTATCCACGGTGTGATGTCACGAAACATAACCAATTCCGCCTCCTTGCATCTCTTTATGCGGGTGACACCAAAAAAGGTGAAAGAACATTTTATATTTTATGTTGTTTTGCACCGAAGGCAGCACATTGCAACACATACGTTTAGTTTTAGGTTCACGCTTCTTTTTACTCTCTTACTGTAACCCTCCTATGGTCGAAGTGGAAATTCCGTACGTGAGATAGCACATCTTGTGCAGAATTTTTTGCTGATTTCGAATCTGCTTTCAAAAGTTGCCGATCCCCTCAGATTAAAAAGTTACAAGCGTTTCTAATACCCAAAATGCCACAAATCGCTTACTTTAAAACGTTCCAAAAATGCCGTAAAATAGTTTTGCCGGGCGAGTAAGGCAGGTTCCGGGGCAAAAAAAGTGCTCTTTCGAATGAACCGAATCGAACCTCACGAACCCGTAACCCAAAATTTTCAAAAAAGTTTTGTTTGGCGAGCCCTTGCCCACGATGGTCGATTTTCGAAGTTCTAGAACTTTTGACCTACGGGTTCGTGAGGTAGCCCATGCGAAAGAGCAGGTTTTTACCCTAGAAAATCCCTTACTCTCCACGCAAAACTATTTTAGGAATTTTTAGAACGTTTTAAAGTAAGCGATTTGTGGCGTTTTGGGTATTAAAAACGCTTGTAACTTTTTAATCTGAGGATTTTGGATCGAAAACTATGCACACCTTGTTTCTCCCTGTGCCGATGTATAATTGGAAAGTCCGACGGCATGAAATGGAAAAACACGGGTTCGGTGCGCTAGGGAAACTTGATGCGCCGTACACAGATCTAGGCAATTTTTCGATTTTCCGTGTCTTTGCGACGTGGAAATGGCAAGTGGGGACAGGTACGACACTAGGAACAGAGGGTGTTCTGGCAAAAGTATCCAAAAAGATTCATAGCTCAGCGGTTTTTTACCTAGGCTGTGATAAAGGAAGCGTTCTGGGCGATTCAGAGCTAATTGGAAGCATTTTGACTTTAAACCTGGCTAGGAGTTGCTTTTTCGAAATTTCACTCGCTCTCTCGCTCACTCTAGCGCGCTCTCTCTCTCCTTCGCTGTCTCTCTCTCTCATTCTGTCTCTCTCGCTCTCTCGCTATCGGCGTTACCCGGTGTAGCCCGCTAACCCCTTTTGGTTTGAGGTATCCGAACTCTTGATTTCCTCATGCCGACTAAAAACACCCTATCCTCCCCAGGCAACTTTCACCGATACCACCCGGCACAATTTGTCGACCTAAAGTGTTTGCCAGAGCAGCTTGAGGGCGAATGGGATGGGGGTGAAAGATGACTGTCGAAGATTAGCCAATTAGCAACAGTTCATTTGATGTGCGCCGAGACAGGAGAGCGGAACTTAATGAGGCTTTCGCTAGGGGCTAAATGTGTTGAAGTGAGGACTGAATATATGGGATCAAGATAACAAGAACATCATTGAAACACCGAACCTACATCTGGAGAATAATGGAGGGGCTGTAGTGAGAGAGAGAGAAAGAGAGAGAGAGAGAGAGAGAGAGAGAGAGAGATAGAGAGAGAGCGATAGAGCAAAGGAGAGACAATGGGAGGGAGAGATGAAGTTAATATAAATATGACTTCCAAGATGTTTAAAACAATTCGACCCACCTCGTCCGGCATCTTCAAAAATCGCAAGGCGTGAGCAGAAATTTAATTCCGAAATGGGCTTTTTAACATCAGCCTGAAAAATAATTTTGGGAACGTCTGAATCGAAATCGTCAGAAAAATCTGAGAATGAACTGGGTGGGTCATAAATTATTATGTCAATTTTCCTCATGGAGCAATAGAATAAACAAAAGAATCTTGAAAGCCTGGAAAACGCATTGGTTGAACTTGCTAGCGTGATAGATTATCTTTCCTCATTAGAAACAATCGATTAAACGATTGGAAAGTGCATAGGAATGTTAGCGCGCCCCAGAGCTCCGACTAGAAGTTCCCGAACGCCAAAATAGACGACGGTGACGGGGATGTCATACCGAAAGAAATCGAAGCCGGATGCCACCGGGTGGAAAAGCGATGAAAAAGAAAAGCGGGGAGGTCCGTTGATCTCGCGCGCCAATCTCTACGAAGCCTCACCCCCACGGGCGATGCCTGCCAAAATTTCGCGGCGCAGCTCGAGCTCCCCCACATGCTCACCGTCTAGAATCGTGTGGACTCATCATAATTTGGAGCGGCAAGGCCAGAGGAACTTGTCGAACCGACGGCAATACGAATTGCCTTGGGGGTATGGCAGTGGTTGGGGTGGGGTGGGGGAAGAAGATGGATCACCCGAGAAATGAGGACTGTATTGGAACTTTCGCGGGTGCAAGGAGGGTGGGGAGCAAAAAAGCATGATAACACGATGAAAGCGTACTTTCGGCATTCGCGGGATCCAACCAGTAAAGCAAATCTTCTCACACTTCCAGAAACTCAGATTTCGCTCGCAGGCTCTTCCTCTTTTACTCTCTCGCGCTCTCTCCCACACCTTTTCACTGTCTCGCTCTCACGCTATGTCTCGCTCTATCTCGTTGACTCACTTTCTCATCGGCTCTCAATATCTCTTTATCTCTTTCTTTCTTTCTTTCTCCCATTCTATCTCTCACTCGCTTTCTCTCACGCTCTCACTCTCTGCCCCTCTCACTTAGTCCCTCTACGTTTCCTAAGCTTCTTAAATTTATCGAGCCGTTTATATAGTGATCATAGTTCCTGGCATTGAGGAAAATTCGTGGCTTTGCAGGTGCGGTACCACCGGTGCACCTAATCCTCACTAATGAAAGTTCTGGGTGTTTTAGCATCATGACATACCGAAAGAAAACAGGAACCTAATGCCTAGAAAAGAGTGCGCCGAGGCTACATGTTCATCCTTGACCTTCCAGGCCACGAGGTACAATCTTTGCACTGGCTGTGCGTGACGGATCTTTGCTTTATTCGTGCGTTCTGCATCACAAAACGAAACTATTTATTCAACGCTTGCATTGATCGTCGTCGGCTCGGACTTCGTGCTTGATTCGTTCGTAGTCGGCCATGGTGGGGACGTACTGCGAAGGCGGCTTACGGTAGAACGGGGCTTGGATGTCGGATGGGTCGTAAGCTGCAAAAAGTCTCAAAAACGGGGCCATGCTATCTTACAAGACAAGTCAGAGCACAAATTTTCGGAGTGGTGGGCCTGACGGGCGCTGCATAGCAATTTGTGACGGCATTTTTGGTCGCAGGGTCCCAAATCGGTGCGTCGATAGTAGTTCCTAGAAAAAAGTGGTATCGAAAAGTTAAAAAGACACAGCACCTTTTTTAGTATGATATTCAAAATTTTACTTGCGGTATTTTTTAAAAAGATCCTCATCCGTTTTCATCCTGTTAATAAGGCTGTTCCACTCCGAGGGGTTGTTGTTTTTAAGGCCATATTCCTAAACGTATTCCGCATTCTTTAAGTCATAATTTGCAAATTTTGACTAATATATTTTCTGCCGTACCTGCAATACACTAGCATACAGCTGGGTCCAATCGTGTTTCGTAGCATCGGTATTCTTCGACAGGTCAAAGAACCACTCCTCCCAGTCCAGAATTCCCTAAAAGCCAGACAGTCCTGTTGGTTCAGAAGATTGCTTACGAATGTAGAACCGGGATAGTTTCCATCCAGAGTATAGAGGCGATACACTGGGTTGAAATTTGACATTGTCGTTGCGCTACCGGCACTGAAACAACTTCATTAAGTGATTCTACCAAAAACCTGAAAATGACACCGGTCGGGGTCGACTTTGCGTCTTCAGGATCCGAATAGATCATGTAGAATTGCTCGGAGTGCGTGTGGCCGAAGAACTGGCCGGTGATGATGTTGGCGAACCTGGAGCATTGAGATTTCTCAGAGAGAGAGAGAGAGAGAGAGAGAGAGAGATAGAGAGAGAGAGAGAGAGAGAGAGAGAGAGAGAGAAGGCGAGAGACGGCGAGACGCACCGATTCATTACTTTGTAGTAGTTAATGGCCCATCCCTCGAGACATTCCCCGTCACCACCTGGGATATGTGCTGTGACATGAACCTAAATTCACCGACTTCTTTAAAACGACATTATGCTTGCGTGCACCTTGTCCCCAGCCTGTTCAGCAGCATAAAGCTGGGCGATGAGCCACGACATCGTGCCATCCGGATCGGTTTGATTGATGTAGAGGAAGCTACGAAAAACTTACAAACTCCTTGGGGAAACTTACGCATTGACCGGATCTCCTCCTAATGGGGTGTTCACAGAAATGATGCGTAGCCCTGGGTATGGCTTGACGACATAGCTGCCCATGCTGAGAACCATTGCATTATATTGTTCCTGGTTCGGCAAAATTTCAGAGGGAGGGAGCGACCGAAAGACAGAGAGCGATAGAGCGCGATTGAGAGAGATAGAGCGAGATCGAGAGAGAGAGAGAGAGAGAGAGAGAGAGAGACAACTAACTATCGCATATTAGCATCCTGATCCGCTGGTACCCATCCCTTCCAGCTGTCGGCCATCGTGTCGTACAGCCAATCCATATGGAAACGTTCTGGCGTGAAGCGTGGGGCAAACCTAAAGAAAACGCTAGTCAAAAATTGAGATGTCTAACGTACACATCAATCGGTACCCCCTCGTGGTTTCCGATCGAGAAATAGGCAGGGATATTCGGGAAGCGGCTACGGATTGACTCCGAAATGTTTTTCACCTAAAATCCTCGCATCAGTTGATATCGGATCAAGCCTAGGCTTGGGCTTTGGGCTTGGCTCTACCATGTTTTGATGGGTCGTCCTTGTATAGTCCCAATCGGCGTGCGACTCAAGGTCACCGGAAACCAAGATGTAGTCGATCTGAAAGAAATATAGCGCTTAGAAAAGGTGTTTACATTCTTGTGGTTGGCGGCGATGTGGTCGAGCATGTTGGTAAAAGTTCGATACGGGATGTCACAGCCCATGACGGTACCCCAGTATCCGGCCGGGTGTTTGATAGGGGCTTTCGTCGTTGCGGATGCACCGACTTCCTAAATAGTCTTTGCAAGAAGCACCTAGATGAGGGAAAAGCCGGATTCACCGACTTACAACGGGATTTTTATCACCACGACAGCAGAGTGGTTCTCCACAATCGGCTTCGGACCCTTCTTCATAGTACATATCGACGTGGATGTCGGTAAGGTGGAGTACGTTCAGTTTCGGCTTGCCAGCCTAGGCTTCTGATGTTAGATGTCAGTTGAATATCTTTCTCACTCTATCCCTCTTTTATTCTCTTTCTCCGTTTTCTCCCCTCTCAGTAGTATTTTTTTGAAAATAACCAATTATCAAAAATCCAGTGCTCTTTTTACTACTTACAGTGGGCGCTGGAAGTGGCTGATACGGTTTTGCGGTTCCAGGAATCGGGACGGTCCAGTTGCTAGACAGGAAATTGGTCACATTTCCGCAATCCTAAAATGTGCTTGTCAAATAAAACTATTATTTATTGCCTGGAAGAAAAACCCGCAGATCTCGTGCGGCTCCACGATGACCTCACCGATCACGTACATGGCCATGTCCTAGAAAACACAATAACCCTAAAGATTACAAAATGCCACTTCAAAGTCTTTGACCATCAACCGGCAAACGAAGTGGTCTTCAAGCTTGAAGGCGTCGCAGATCGCGATCACTAGCTGAAACAAGACTATCCAGCGTTATGAAAAATTTTTACATCCATCAGACAGTCTTCAAAGATCTTGTCGCCCCAAAGGTTGTGTAGAAGCGCGACAAGGAAATCGCAGGCTTTGCATTGCTCCGATTGGAGTTGGTTGGTTTTTGCTAAATTTTGCTCGTTTTAGAATGGTTTACAGTTTCAAAGTATTTGAAATGATCCTAGAATACTGGTCAAACTAAATCCTCAAAATTTTTTTGACTTGAAGTTGTCGTGATCTCGGGAAGGTTATTCTAATAATTACTTCGATGCACTTGGACGAGGGCCTACGCTTAAGAAGAAGCTTAAGCCTAAGCCTAAGCGTATGCCTAACAAGACTAAGCCTATGGCCCGTCGATACAGTGATTATAAAACGATTTTTGTTATATAAAACAGAAATTTACCGCTCTGAACTGGCCCACATTGCGTCGAGCCGAAAAGCAGAAGCACCGCAACCAAAAACCCGAGCGACTTCATGTCGGGCCTCGACTCGAGTGGCCGTCGTTATCAAGTTATTCCAAAAAGCGCATGGCTTCACCATGGCGATTTACGACAGCTGCCGCCCTTGTTGTAAACTGTACCCGGACCGTCATTAAAGAGCCATTAAAGTCGTTGACGTTTGGTTCATTGTTATGGTTGAGAAGTTGTCGAGGATATTATTTATCAAATATATGCAAGTTACAAGGCATCAGAAACACGGAAACAATAGGCCGGCTGCTATGGCGACGTTTTTGACATACCCGGGGAGCCTATGGTCACCAACCGGTGTGAAGTATGCTTACATCAGCTTTATATTCTTAACAACAAGTATATGCAGATTGCAAAGTCCCTGTATTAATTAAGAAACAGCAAGCAAGCCGAAGGATAATCAGCTACCCTTTCAGAGGCCACAGCTCCACAATTGCTTGATAAGTCTGTGGAGCATATTTTAATTTCGCTTCCTCGCTTGGACAGATGGTCTGATTGTCCTTGACCAAGTCTTTCCATTGCGTTAAATCATACAGACAGGTGCAACTCGCTAAATTCGGAAAATAGATGATATACGCGGCGTCCGCTTGGGCGCAAGCAGCGTTTGTGCAGTTGTCCGGCGCTGGCTTGTCGGCCCCATAGATAGAGGAAACGTCCGAGGCCTTGAATAAATTGTAGTTTCATATTAACGGCAATTTCATACCGTAACCAGTGCAACAACAACGAAAAGGAAAACGCAACGGGGTGCCATTTGCTGCAAGAATTGTTTCTGGAGAGCAAGAACAAAGACATCTAGGAACCAGCCGTCTCGTAGCCAAGCTGTTTTTCATGGAGGTACATTAGACGCCTAGCAACAAATGGACTACAATGCACTGAGAGCTAGTTTATTGTGAAGAAATGAGGGAAACCCAATAATTAGAGAAATGGAATATAATAGTGAGAATAGATAAAACCTAGAAACGAAAATTACAGAAATCGTACTATGCCGAAATATCTGAATCTATTGAAAGCATTTATCATGCAGATTTTTACGGTCTTTTTCGATTTCCGCATCAAAGCCGCACCAACCGTGGGGTTTGTAAATAGTAGCGACCCGTATTTTGCCAATGAAACGGATAGGGTTACGCTACAGTAGCGTGCAAAAAGAAGGCAACACCCCAGAAGCTCTTGTAACTCGGCTGCCTCGTTATATTTTGCACCAAACGGAATGTTTCCTAGTGTTTTCGATGCTGTAGAATTTGATGAGCAGGGTCCCCAGCCGCGAAAATGACGTTTAGTAGCTTAAATATCGAATTTAAAATAGCTCCAAAAAATCGACTTTTTCTAAAGGCATTTTTTCGTTTCAAAAACATCTCCATCTTGTTCAGCATGGTCGATTTACCCAAGGTCAATGTTTCTGGTTGCTTAGGACGTCTTCAGTCGGCTAGGAAGCTGCGATTAATAGGGGGTCGCCATCGGTCTGGTGGGGCCGCATGCAATACCTTTCCCCCGGACGAACCCACTTCTTGACCCGTTTCGCGCAAAGAAAACGCGGCTTCCCGGCTAAGCCAAGTCACACCCGATTACAAACGACACTGACTTTGGGTAAATCGACCATGCTGAACACGATGGTGATGTTTTTGAAACGAAAAAATGCCTTTAGAAAAAGTCGATTTTTTGGAGCTATTTTAAATTCGATATTTAAGCTACTAAACGTCATTTTCGCGGCTGGGGACCCTGCTCATCAAATTCTACAGCATCGAAAACACTAGGAAACATTCCGTTTGGTGCAAAATATAACGAGGCAGCCGATTTACAAGAGCTTCCTGGGTGTTGCCTTGTTTTTGCACGCTACTGTATGTTGTATCCAATTTTTCCACGCTTTTCATTTCTGTAACCGAATTCGCGTTTTGACAAATGACTTATATGACTTAATTTGTGGATTTCATTCAGATTTATGCTTGCATCATTTTTATTTCCGCAGTAATTTCGGCAATTCCAAGCAAAACCCTGAATAATCCTATCCCTCGCTAGAACGCGACACTCCACCCAAACCTTCTAGGGAAAATATATCTCATATGACCTGCAGTATCGTTTTTTACTAAAAGTACATACCGTATACAGTTTTTTGGGTTCTTTCTTTTTAAAATATTGTTCACCCTGTTTGGGATGACCGCCGTTCCCGGCGGTAGGTGAAAAACCGGGGCGACGCTTTACGGCGAGAAGCAAGCTTCTGCTTCCAAAAATATGTTAATCTCGATGTGTTCAATAGAACACCTACCGGAGATTAAGCTGATATGAACAGATTAATTTTGTCAGTAGATGATCGGCTCGAGGGCCGGAAATACAGTAATCTAATGCGCGATTGAGAGGAAGAGCAGAAGAAGAGAAGAGAAGAGCAGGAAGAGCATCACATTTAGTCAGAAAATTGCAACAAATTATGCGTTTCCAAATGTCAAAAAGTCTCTTGATTCTTTCGTCACGGACGCTGGAGTCTGGGCATCCTTGCTTCGAATACCCCCGCTGTGTTTGACGTAGTTTCTCGGAAAAATTCGACAAGAAAATATCTCCAACATCCGCTTTCGGTATACCTAGATTGGATCAGTGCTTCAGCATCAGAAAATACTCTAAAAAGCGACAACGCCAATATCGCATCACATCCCGAGTAGCCGGCCATGAGCAACGGCATGCAGAGACCCCATTCATGTGGGATATAGCCTAAAAGGCATTTTTTTTATTAACTAAATCCAGAAAATACAGAAAATAAAGAAGGATGAAACGACGTTTATAGCCAGTTAATTTAAATAGTAATCAAACATACCGGAAGTGCTTCCAATTAGCACAATTTGCGCTGGGATAAACTCAAAAATTAATGGGGAGACTGCCTAAAATTTTTCAAAATCTGGAACCTGTTGCTTTGCCCCCACCTGCGCCAAAATCAACAGTAAAAGTTGCAGCTGAAATTTCTTGACGTTTACGCTGATCAGCGAGTTTCTGACGTGAAAAAATCTAAAAACGAGCGCGTGAAAAATTGTACGAAACTCACAGCTTCATCCCCATTGCACAGGTTCCGCCATACAACCCTGTACACACCGCCATCGCCAAGAAACTTCCGATTAGTGCATGGATGTTGAGGGTTTCCGCCCCAAACTCGTTTTTGGACTGGAAGCGAGTATTGTTAGCGGTCATAAAATGTGAATTTTTCTGGATCTCATCGTTTCTACAGTGGTAAAGTTCTCGCCCAAGCCTAAGCCGAACATAAGCGAAGCCGAAGCCAAAACCTATGCCTAATCCTATACCTATCACTTACAATAAAAACAGCTCCATAATAAAATACACCTTCGGTAAGTGAAATATTCAATAAGGCTTTTGTTTCATCATACGAAAGATTTGTCCGAAGTTGGGTTGGCTGAATTCACAGGTCTGGCGCCTCAAAGCCAATGCTCAACCTCAAAAGATATCATCGGACAGGCCTCAATCGTACAGGATATGAAAAAGTGCCAGATAACCACGCAGCAAATGCTGGTCTTTGTGGCGAACACGAAGTTGTACTTTCTGAAAACCGAAATAGGATTGAGGGTCTGGTTTAAGTGCCGATACCCGGTAATTTTTACGTATCGGTAAAAGCAGTGAATTAATAATAACGATAATGATTGTCCAAAACTCTGTACAAATAGGTCGAGCGCGTATTTTGATATGTCATAGGAACGCCAGAATGCCCGGCTGACCAGGATAAAGCCCCGATCATCGAGGACATAGGCCTAGAAAGACAGGTTTTCATAGAATAGCCGCTTACTGGATTTACGATTCGTAGTACTAATGAAAAATAAATATTGTATAACGATATTATAGCCAAAATCGTTCGGCTACCCTTCATCTCGGCCCTTGGCGCGGTGAAAATGACAAAGAGCAAAAATAAATTTGAGATGATGCCAAGAAAAGCCAACGCTGTACCGACGTAGTAATGGAAATCGCTGTTACAGAGCATTTATCTGAAAAGAAATTATAATGTAGACATAGAATTTATTCGAAACAATCGAAAGAATACAGTAGACTTGCCACATGGCTACGAAATCAAGTCGGGTTCCGCTTGACTCCTACTTGCATAACGGGAAAAGTGCATCTCTTAACGGTCTACTGCGCCCCGTTCACGGTTGCTATACCAAAAAGAAAAGGGGTAATGACCGTTTATTTTACCACTACTGCACTATCCAGATAAACAATAAAGAAAACCTGAAATTTTTTTTGAATTTTTGAATCTATGATTCGGGATCCGCGAGGGAAAGGCCAGCGAACTGCCCAACGTGGTTTTCCGGCTACCGTATAATTTTTCGCGGCCATGGCATGGGAAATTCCGAGCGAAAACCATAAGTACCTGCGAAATTGGTCTTAGACTCAAGTAAATACAATTTTAGTAAACAATTGACAACGGCGGGTGAACTTCAGGGTACGAATTTGAAAGATACAGCAATTTCGAGGAGAAACAAAACTCGGGGAATAAGTATGCAAGTCTAGGCAAGCCTAAGCCTAACCCAAGCCTAAGCCTAGGCCACCTAGACCAAGACGTAAACCAAAGCCTAAGCTCCAGTAAGTAGAAGCTGAACTTTTGAAGTCGCGCACAACTAAGACCAGGCCTAGGCCTAAACGTAAGTCTAAGCATAAAGCCCAAGCATAAGCCTAGGCCTCCGAAACCAAACGTAAACCCAAGATCTCTCCAGAGAATAAAAGCTGAATTTTTGAGCTACATCGTGCAAAGCAGCCGACTTTTAGTCCGTACATGATGTGATGATGCTGAGAGTTTGCGGAGTTTCCGGATTTTTTTTAGACGTAGTCTGACCAACGGATTTTCAGACACAAAAAAACAGTCTCACGGAAATTGTTGCAAACATAAACAATGTCTGATCAAACGTCTCCGCCTTTTGAACAACAGGCGAACTCGAAATTTTGAAAAGTCACGAATGTCTTCTGGAATAAAAAAAGGGAAGAGGTCTGAAGCTTCCCCTACCATTTAAAGGGACGCGGAATAAACATTGTTGTTTTACCCACCCGCCACCGAAACTTTTTTGACTTTTCCGCTATTTTGTCGGGATTTTGGATATGCCAATTGATGGAATATTAAATATTTTTGAAAAACTTTAATTACACCCCAAAACCTTATATAAAGAAAGCATGGCAAAAAACTCTCGGGAACTTCCGGCTGGGGGAGGTAAAGTAAAGTCTTGCAGGAATAAGGTACGGAAAATGCCACGAATACCTCCTTGCCGGGACCTTTAAAGGGATCAGAAGGGATTTTCTAGCTGTTCATGATTTTCCTTAATATTTGCAGCCTTTTAACCACCCCGTCTTTGTGCTACTCATACCGGGTCATAGATTTTTCCAGCCGTGTCGTGCGACAACGTGAAATGCGGTGCGCTGCAAAAGTGTGAAATGAAGACGGTGGGGTTTTCAAGTCCAAGTCGAATTTTAGTATATCCTGAAATTAAAAATCCAGAAAACGTTGTAAAAACAATTCCAAAATGATTTTAAAAACGTGAAAATATGATGCCTTTCAGCTTAAAAACCCGGAATCTAAAATTCAACGCTTACCAAAATGTAGAATTTCATATTGAGTGCCGGTATCGGATTTTGAGTACGCCAAACTAATAAACCATCAGCTTTTGTATTCATTCTCCTAAACTTTTAGCTCGACTGCTTCACCCCGCCGTGCCCCAATGAGCCAACTTGCGTTCCCAGCATCAGCGGTTCAGACATTTTAGGTAAAAATAAATTTTGTTCTCAATCTAACCACCAATTTCCAGGCTGGATCCCCGGCCAACGTTTGGGGCCTCGGCCGCTAAGAACAATTTAAAAACCTTGCCAAAAAAGTTATCATTTTAATGTATATTCCGGCGCGGTAAAAATTTATTAAGCTCTTGTAAACCGGTCGTAGGATCAACAGAATTATTCAACGGGTTCAACATGAGGGGTTTTCAAAAACAAACCAAACAACTTAATTGGGTAAAGCAGGGCCGGGCGGGGGGGGCGTAACACATTATGTAGATGAAGAAGCCGGTAAAGAGGGACAGGATAACGCCGAAAAAGGCCAAAACCTCTCTCACTCTCTCTCTCTCTCTCTCTCTCTCTCTCTTTCTCGTTCTCATCTTCTTTTCTCTCTGTTCTAAGACAAGTATAAATCGTCACAATCTCACAGCTATAAAAAACCAAAAGCCCTGTGTGACCGGGGCCAAGGTGAAAAGCGAGAATATCGGTTTTCGATGGAAGAGCCACGTTCAGCTGTCCTCCCCCTGTTTCGGTCACCCAAACCATTCCCAGATCGATTCCCTTTGTCGCACGGCTTCTCCTCCTGTTTTTGCCGGTTTGCTTGAAAAATATAAGCATTTTGGGGATCGATCCATTCGTGATTCAGCTGGGATGGGTCGTGGTGGTGGTGGCGAGCAGGCAGATCCGGAGACGAATTTCGTCTACGCCAAGCCCCCCGTCAAGAACATGATTTTGAAGGTAAATTTGAATTTAGGCAATGGGTTCTTGCGATAGTACCACTTTAATGAGTTTTTATCTTTAATTTAATGCATAGGCGTTTTCGGGTTTTTGGAGGTCCTTGAATCAAGGACCTTGATTATATTTTTTGGTGCTGGAATTTCGGCCCGAATTATGCAAAGTCAATAACTTCACAGACCATAGCCGGGGCCGGGGTTGAAAAGCCGCGAAGCGGTTTTTCAAACCTGGTTGGGACTGACTTTTCGAAGCGACAGCCAAAAAAGCTAGCAGGGATCTTTTAGGATTTTTCTGTAATATAAACCTGCTACCTTTACACGAATGTTGCCAACAATGGAGGAGAGAGACAACAAGGGCGAAAGTAAGACAGAGAGACAGAGTGAGAGAGCGAGTGGCGATAGCTACATATTTATCTAAATATGATATTTCGTTTTTCTCTAAAAAAACCTCTATAAAGGAGGGCTTACAGTAATAAAAGTATATAAGCGATAAGGCTAACTTTCCAGGCCTCCCTCCTCATCGTCGTGTTGGCGAACATCACGCTCTTTTTCGCAGTCTACGAGATGTCGTTAACAGTGCCGTTCGGATCGGGCAGCTATATGGGCTTCGGGATCGTGTGAGGCGGCCTAATCAGCTTTAGATACATTTCTGATCCTCCCGGCAGTATCCCTTTAAAACGTATTGTGATTCAGAATGCTGACGGTCAGTTTGTGCGCAATGTTTGCCGTGCTCTCCGACAAATGGCGCTTTCTCTGCCCCTTATTTTTCATGCTGGTAGATGACTTCAAATTCAAACAACACAAACTTTTTTCAGTTCCCCTGCGCCTTCGTGCCGGTTCTATACTTTATTTATTACGTCTCGGTTCCCTTATTCTGTCGGCTGCAACACATGTGGGCTGGGGATACCTCGACAGGTAGATTTGATGCTAGAAACAATAAAAATTAAGCCCGTTTTTAGATATTTTCAAGCACGAGGCCAAGCTCCAGACCTGTATCGCTGGGTTCCCGGGCACCGATTTCCCGCAAGCAACGTTCTTCCTTTACGTAAGTCATTAGAAAGTGGCGTTACTCGGGGTCATTTGTACAGTTCGGAATCGAGAAGCTGCTCGAGCTCTACCTGGTTGCGAAACTGTTGCGTGTGATGCAAAGGGACGAGCAGGAGGTGGAAAGATCGATCGAGGAAGGGAAGGGGAGACGTTGCGATTATGACAGCGACGAGGATGTAGGTTATGGATTTTGGACAGAGAGAGAGAGAGAGAGAGAGAGAGGAGGGGGGGGGGGAAAGCAAAGGGGGGGGGGGGGAAGGGGGGGGAGGAAGAGAGATATCGAGAGTGATATACGAACGTTTCCAGATGATCGTCTATGAGAGGCTCCCCCAAAAATCCAAGAAGCTGCCCCCGAAAGTGATCGATCGATGTGCAAAATAAGCCTGGACAAAGGGGCGTTTTATCTATTTTCTTCATTTATTGTTAAAACCTATTTTAAGCCAAAATCGTTTCCGGTGTATACTTGCAATGTAGCGCATTTTTGGCGATGGTACCTAAATTTTGTGGCTTTTGAAAGCAGCTTGGAACCTTACCAATGATAAGATTTCCCTTCCCGTCGTGAATGGCATGCGAGGAGCATGGGAGTTGGTTGCCATCGTCGCTGTATGGCTCCGTAATTTCATGGGACTTGAAGTCGGCCGAGAATTTGATGCGCAGGACCTGTAATTAAAGCGATACCCCTTAATTCGACATCTTCATGCTGATAAGTTCTTAAGGCCGCCGCTTTTACCTGCGATGGCGGGCAGGTTCCGTGCTTCTCACATTCCCCCTTTTTCATGCACGCCTCCATGTTGAGCAATTTGTACAGCACGGGATGAGCGCCAGTCCAAAGCGCACCTAAATACCGTACCGTGACCACTAATCGTCAGCCGCAACCTTCAGAATCCATGAACAAATTGTCAGGGGCCGTCAAAAGTTGAATCGTTGCCAATTCCTTCTCGACTTTTGTAAAGTCCTAAAGCTTGCTCCAGCTACAATAATCGGATCTAACCTTTGACAACTGCAGAACAACCAACTTTTCCTTGAAAGGCGATGTGTAATACAGGATCTGTTTGGCTTTATCGACCCAGATGCCGTTGGGGGTGACGTCGCTGGGAACTAGGAGATGAGATTTCTAAAAAGTAGCAAAACTTTATATTTTAAAGGGATGGTGCCTCAAAAACGAAAAATGTTAAGGAAAACGTTAGATACCTGCCCATCAAAATACACGACGGAACCGCCGGGGCGGCGGAAGAACATCTCCAAGAAGGTCCCGATTTCACTCTAAATAATACAAAATGAAAAATAACTTCCTAAAACCTGTGCAGATCCGTCGTTCGAGATGAAGAATTGATCTTTTCCGATAGCGTGCAGGCCATTGGGCCTAGATTAAAAATGCACAACTTTCCGGAGCGAGAGAGAGAGAGAGAGAGAGAGAGAGAGGAGGGAGAGAGTGAGAGAAAGGGCCACAAAAGATATACTCACTTTACAAACAGGTTGTCCTTAAGCGTCTTCACCCATTTCAGTCCCAGAGGCTTTTCTTGGAATTCAAAGACCTAACAATTTAAGATAAATTCAAAACATGCTGCATCCTTTCATACCTCAATACTATGATTAAAGTCCTTCTTCAACGGCGTGTGCGAGATTACGTAGAGATACACCTTACCATCGAGGATGTAGTGCGAGAACCCATGGGGTATGAAGATTTTCTGAATTTTAAAGCTGCTATTTTAGCTTTCACTGAAGGCGTACGGGTGGATTTTGGATAGGTATCTGAACAGCTTGATGATTTGTGTTTTTCTCGCTCATATCGTAGTAGAACATCTGGAGATTCAAAGTATTTCAAAATTTTCAAGAAATTGGACCCTGCCCGCCTCGTTGCCATCCATAATTCCCATTACACCCGACGACATAAAAGCAATGTTTTTCGAAGGCACATATTCGACGTGTTCAGAGCCTTCGTCTGTAAATACATGTATTGTTTCGTTTTGTTAAAATATTTTTTCATCAATATTCTAGGCAATTTTTATCAGATACTGCAAATAGCTTACTTAATGAAGAAAAAGCTACCAATCCCCCTTAATTTCCACGCACTTCCCGGGCCTGTGGTTATACGTGCGTTTGTTGATGTCCAAAACAAATCTGGAAGTATAATTTAATTCACAGAAACACATACAAAAAATAAAAGCAGTAACCTACAATGTATCCACCAAAAAGTAGGCCAAAACCAGGCCAATTGCCCAGGAGAATAGGCTGAACATTACTGAAAATGCAGATAACTGCAAGATTCTAGTGAAAAACAATTGTTATTGCATCGAAAATTCTTAGAGCCTTAAAAAACTGTTCGAAAATTTTTCGCCCGTAAATTAGGCCTTGGAAGTTGTGGGGTGCTATCAATTCGTGCCCGGAAAAATTGGCAGAACGGGTAAAACTGGGAGACGCAGAGAAAAAAGCAAACTGTCGCGGGTCTGTCTCGGTGTCCGCCGTTGTGTGTTTATGGTTTGTGGGGCAGAAATAAGACATGGAGAGCATCTTAAATATAAAGGATTTATACAGGTACCCGAAAAAATTTGAGCAAACTTTCTATAGCTTAATTGACTCTGGAGTGTATGTGCAGTGGAGCAGAGTGGTGCCGACGGAGCCTAAAAACCATTAGAAAAAAGAAATTTTTAATATTTTTTTTTTTTTGAAAAATTTTTTTTTTTTTTTTTGTGTGGGAAAAAATTTAAATTTATAAAAATAAAAAAAAAAAAGGGGATTTAAAAAAAAAATTTTTTGTTTAGAAAGTGAAAAATTTGCAAATTTTTGGGCTTGATATTCCCAATTAAAGTCGAAAGTGCTCTTAAATAGGTATAATAATGCTAAATTAGAATAATTATCTAGCTCACGTCCAAAATTGATCCAGTTACGCTATGAAATCCTCTCTCGGTAGGTAGCTCCTTACCAATCAACATTTGCCCCTTTCCGTTATGTATCGCGCCCGCCGAGCACGTAATTTGTTCACCATCATCAGTGTAAGGTTCGATTACCTAGATAACTCAATTTGAGTAAAGATCAGGCGCTTAAAAATAAATCAAAACAAAGAAAATTTGGAGTCCCACCTCGTGGGTCCGGAAATCGTCCGAAAACTTGATGCGGAGCACCTAAATTAGATATTCAAGCAATAGTTTGTATCATACCTGAGAGGGGGGAAATTCTCCCGCTCTCAATTCCCTTGTGAAACATTTGCTGGCATCGAAAACGCGATGGAAAACGGGGTTCCCGGCTGTCCACAAGTAGCCTGTAAGGATTGGGGGTTGGGGCTCCCCTTTCGCTCTCTCTGAGGGCCTACCCCTGATAGCAAGCCCCAAGCGCCCTCTCCCCACCGCCGCCATAGCTCAGTTGGTTAGAGCGTGGGTCTAATAAGCCCAAGGTCGCAGGTTCGACCCCTGCTGGCGGCAAACTTTTTGCTTTTTGGGTGAGTTTGGTTTTTTTTTATAAGTTTTGGATTCTAGTATCCTCAAATTTTTTTCATACTCCCCACCCCCACAAACAAAAAAAAAAAAAACCACCCCAAAAAAAACCACAACAACAAAACAACAAAAAATCAAAACAAAAATAACCAAACAAAGAAAGAAAAAAATTTGGTATCTTTTTTGATATGTCCGTACGGTTCCAAAGTTTTGCCCCCTGTTAGCATAGTCGTAATAATTTTACTTACCTTCCTGGTCCAAGAACAAATTATCGACTCCCGATAGTAAAGCCGCCTTTCCAAGGTATTCTTTTTGCGATTTCAGGTCCTAAAGCCCAGCTAAGGTTTTTATTTTCTTGGCACTTACGTCATTCAGCTTTATCGCCTTGACAAACTCTCCCAAATGAGAGGAATAGTATAAAATCTTATTCTTCAAATCCACCCAAAGCCCATTTGGCGTTAGATCGTAGGAAACGATAGCGTGAACTTTCTAAAATTTAAATAAAGCGTCAAAAACTGGCTATTACCCCGTTTTCATAGTAGATCACGCTGCCAGTCGGTATATTTAGCATAACCTCTATTAAATTCATGTAACCTTTCTAAAAGAGCATCCTATAAGTATTTTGCGACAATTTACTTGAGCTCTTCCATCATTTGTCACGAAAAATTTGTCCATACCGACTGCGAAAACGCCGTTTGGCCTAGAATTCAAATTCAACGTAAAATTATGAAAATATTACCTGAATAGTGCCTCATGCTGATAGCTTTTAATGTGATGAAGTGATTTTCCCTTTTTGTTGAATTCAAAGAGCTAAAAAAGAAAGACACATTTTAAAACGCTTACTTCTATCGAGTGCTTGAACCCATTCCTGGCCATCGTGTGCGTGACAGCATACAAATAAATTTTGCCATTTTCGATGAAATGGCTCATGCCATGTGGGTGGAAATCGTGCTAAACAAGTCTACAATTTGATGATTTATAGGACTTACTAATTCACGATCGATCGCAAGCGGGTAAGCTTTGTTTGCTTTTTCGGAAAAGTCGTAGAGGAAGATCTGGAATTAGAAGCTAAAAATTATGTATTAATTTTGCTTAGATAGCTGCTGAACTGAATGTGATTAATCTAAATGTTAATAGAACCTTGAGAAGAACAATTTTAATAATTACGACGTGATCCAACTATAATTTAGCAATTTTTGGCACAAAGGGTCAGTTTAAAAAAGCAGTAAAAAAAAGCTATTTCGGGCTAAACGTTTCAAGTTCTTTTTATCTACCTTTCCCGGCCTATCCGGAATATCGGTCATCATCTGCAGACCGGAAGATATTAATACAATATTTTCAGAAGGAATATATTCAAGATGTTCGGAGCCTTTTTCTAAAAAGAAGGAATCGCTTCATTTTGAGTGTACTTACCGATCCCCTGCACGGTCTGGCAAGTCCCGGGTCGATGCGGATATACTCGTTTGTTTAAATCGAGCATCCATCTAAAAAATGCGTATGTAAAGTACGTTAAAATATTGTGAAACTCACATGAATTGTCCCAAAAACGCCAGGGCGACGCCGATCAGGGTGTATTTTACGAAAAAGTGGACCATTTTCAGCTTAAACCTGCCTGGGATCAGGCAGTTGATGAAAAAGAATGTGACGTGAATTTTGAAAGCTGAAAAAGAGGCTTAGAACAGCAGTTTGAGCCATAAAAATGCGCGATAAAGGTTGTGCCGTAAAATTAGTTTAGAGCGGTACTAAGCCAATTCCTTAAGGTTTTTGAGCCCGAAAAGACACTTTTAGGACAAGATTTGGCAGAGGATTTTCCAGGAGCAACGCAGAAGACGCGAAAATTGAATCTACGACAATCCCAGATGCAAAAACCCGGCTAGAACTAGGAAAGGGCGGCTAGGTCGATAGTGGCCCCCCGCGGGTTGTTTACCATTTTTGCGCCCCTTTTCTGCACTTTCGGACGGGCCCGAAAAATTGGAAAACAACAGAAGGGGAGCGGTCGGAAAACAGCGATGCATAGCAGTGGTTATTAAGCAAAATATTGTTAGATGGGAATTATCAACAAAAATAGGAAGGCTGATAAAGCTTCGCGGCGGGAGGAGATCAATGGGTCTCACTTTGAACCCTTCCAAAAATGCTAAAATGTCCGATTAAATATGAAAACGTACCTTAAAGGTAACACTAAAATTTCGTGATGGTTTATGTTCGGCCGGTAACCTTCCGGGGATAGCAAACAAGGTTACGGTTAAAAGGCGCTTGCGCGGAGCAAAACTTCGAACCCTGACCGCCAGCTCGAATGGCAGTTTACGCCTTGGACCACTCGGCCCCCAAGGAGAGACAGAATGGGCAAGGAGAGGTCCGATTTTTAAGAAGGGTATAGTTTAAAGTCCAAAGATAATTTAGTGTACCTTTAAGCAATGGTATAGCTAGTAATAATAAAAACTGCATGCAAAAATGCAATGATGTTTGCGAATCTTTCTGGGGGAAAAAAAGGAATAGCATAATTTCTGGTTACTTTAAATACTTTTATCTTTTGCGCGTCCTTTGTCATTTGGTAAAGTATATCATTTATTAAAACCGCCCTCACATCATTCCGGTGCCATACAAATTACTATTCATAATAATGTCAACGGATCCATTGAATACAAATCCAATGTTTTCCGGGTCTACAGCTGAGGTGAAGTGGGCGTGGAAGCCGCGCCGTTCCATGTCGTCTTTTGCCAATTTCTACAAGCAACAAATGGCGATTATTTTTATGCAAAATATTGTGTTTTTATCTACGATTAGTCCTCAAAATTACCTACATCTGTAAATAAGTCATGGATAAAGTCGGCTGCTTTGTGGACGTTACGGCCTCCTAAAAATACAAATTAGAAAAACCTAAAACTTTGAATTTCTAGACCACAAAAGCCTTATTTTTCTATTGTAATCAATCAACCCTCGTACCTGTATACTCCGGGTAAAACGCGGATATAGGTGAAAATGCTATTTTCCCGTCAAAGAGGTCGAATTTGTTCAAAAATAGCAAAAATCCAGAGGCCGCAAGCCAACGGTTCCGGAACACTTCGTAGAACAACTTCAAAGCTTCAGCCATTCGATTCTGAAATGAAAATTGACATCTGTCAATGTTTGGAGGTGGGTACCGTATCCGGAGACTCATCGAGAAGCTGATCGTAGCTTGCCATACTTGCTACGAACATTACGGCGGTTACCCCTTCGAAGCAGTGGATCCATTTCCGGCGTTCTGCCCGTTGACCGCCGACGTCGATCAATCTGGGTGCGTTTTAGAGTTTATGGATGGATTTTTAGGGGTTAGCGAGAGAGAGAGAGAGAGAGACAGCGCGCGAGAGAGTGAGAGAGATCGAGAGCGAGCGAAAGGGATGGCAATTTGCACATGATCTAGACTTTCTCACCTGATCGTCCCATGTTTGAACTTGAACTTGATCTCGTGAATCCCGTACGTCGGTATTCTGAGGTGTACGGTATCCTGGTCGCTGGCCACAAAATCCGGCTTCAGAATTTCCGGAACACGATTCCAAAAGCTAAAATTTTAGCGGTAGGTCCTGCCGTAAAGCGGTCTTTAGTTTATAATTTTTTGGATTATCGTAGTTAAGAAGTAACTTACTAAGAAGCATTGTCCGGCAATGTTCTATAGAATTTATGCTTTTCCATAAAATCCGTCACGTCGGTGAGCTTAGAAAATTCTTCCATCTGTTCCCTTTCATCGGCCCAATTGACCTCAGAATCCTGGGGTTCCATTGTGGCAAATCGATCCAAAATATCCTAGGAAAACTATACATTAGATCCTACTATATATAAAAAAAATAGTGTCTGTGTGTGTGTGTGTGTGTGTATGACACTTTGCATGCAACTTCCGTCAGCGTGTCGGAGGATATCTCAAGGGGGCGGGATGAAGGGGGCGTATGATACGTCATTAGACGCGCAATGGCCTGTAGATGACTGCACGCATATCAGATTTTGCAAAATCGATTGTTTTCGACATTAAATTAAGTTTTCCTTAAAATCGGCACCCTCTTTGTTAGGAAAAAATTAGCATACGCCGGAAATGGTAGTAGTCTATATAATCGGGGAGAGCAAGCGATTTTCATTTTTTGACATAACGGTGCGGAAGGATTATGCAAAGCGAGGGATATCATGGGGTTGCAGGGCCAGGGTTGAAAAGGCGCGAAGCGGCTTTTCAACCCTGGTTAACATTAAAATCCGATACCTTAGATCCCTGGCTGGGTCTATACAAATCGAGGATAGCTTTTGCAAGCTCATGAAAAATAATTCGCAAGTTTTGTAAGACTTGTATCGTGTAGAGGTGTAGATCGTTGGGGTCGGTTTTGGCAATGTACATATATCTGAATCGGCTTGGATTTAAGCGATGTGACTACAAACTTCATCTGCTTTACGATCGTCGATTTCCCGGAATCGGCGGTGCCTAAAATTATCGATTATTTTTAAAGGACTGGTAAGGTTCTAACCTATCATCGACTTTATTTATTCTGGAATTTTAATTTTTTGAATTGAATTGTACCTCAGCCTCGACACGCAACGCATGTCGTCCCTTGCATTGCGTAATCGGTTACCACCGTTTCCAAGCGAATCCGCGCGCGTTGCGCGTCGCGAGCGCGGTGTAAATATCCTACGGTCCCACGCGCCGAGACACGCAATGCCCCCGCGCTGCCTTACATCGCGTAATTCTTTCAGGCCGTTAGTTCAGACGCGACGACGTGCGCGTTGCACGACGCGTGCGCGGCAAAATTTTTCGAAATCCAATATCAAGTAGTGCGTTGGAACGTTCAACAATCTTAGCTATTTCTGCGCATCAGCGAATCCTTCTAGAGGCCCTATAGAGTTAGAAAAAGAAGACTTTAAGCTAAGGCCATTTATTAACCCACCAAGCAGCAAGATCTTAATCGTTTTCGCCTGCAACAGCTTGTCTGACTTCAGCTGCTTGTCAATCTCCAGGTTGCTGGCGCTTTTCCCAGGCCGACAAATGTTGCAGCCCATTTCCAGTGAGGAAGACAATTCCGACTTTCACATCTACAAAAAATGAATCCCAGGGCGCCAAAACAACGGAAATTAGGGGCGAAAAGCCCTGGAAACCAAGAGGGGCCATTTTGCGCAGAAATTGGGGGATGAATACGGGGGGCTAAAAATGGGATGTCGATGGGCCCGGCGGACGGGAATGGAAAACGGAAATAAGGTGCGGGTGGGCTGGCTGGGCTGGTGGACCGGCAACGAATGGATCTGCTCAGATGGATGCACAGATCTGCCGGTCGGGAATGAATTAAAGGAGCCGGTAAGGGTGCAGGAGTATATTTCGCTTCCCAGGCTAACTGGCGCTTGAACAAATTGTAATTGCGGCCAAGAAAAAAACCTAAAAATGGCGATATCTCTTTGACAGTAAAGTGTTTTTGGTCAGGATGGAAATTCCGTCCGGGACCAAGCCTGTCTTGTGCAGAATTTTTTGCTGATTCCGACTCTGTTTTAAAAAACTGCCAAATAGTTAGGATTCAAAGTTATAACGTTTTTGAGTGCATTTTAAGCAAAAATTGGCAAGCCTACCTTAGTTTTAGCTTAGACTTAGCTTAGGCTTAGCTTAACTTTATTCACTTTTTTAGCTGGGCTAGGCATTTGCATAAATCGAAAATTAAGCTAAAAAGCAACAAAGTCGATGCAGGCTTTGAAGACGTTTCGCTGGGCGGAAGCTCGCGCACAAATGCTCACCCGGGAGGACAAGCGAGCTCGTGAAAAATTCATAAATTCCGCCCCCAGGTCTCTTACTTTGTCCTCTTTTCGTTCGCTTTTCTGTGTCTATTGGCATAGTTGTCATATTTAAAGGGCTGGAGAAAGATGGGCCGGCGTCCGTCGGGGTGACGGACCGCCGCGGCGCTACCATCGACGCTTTCCCTTGCGTAAGCGCCCCCAAAACCCCCCTCTCGCGTTTGAAGAAACCAGTTTATTGGCTATAACTTTTTCATTTAGCAATGTTTTCAACTAAAAATCTCCTGAAACCAAGGACTTGGTGATACGCATCGATGGTAAAAATTTGAGCTGGATTGGATAGAAGGCGGCCAAGTTCTGGGCGATTCGGGGTTTTGGTACACTGTTTTGGCTGAAAAAGAGGCGCATAGACAGCAAAACACCTCTAGAAAGTTGCAAAGTACGTTGCTTTCCTTTAGCAAGATTTTCTACAACATTTTTTAGCTAAGATCACCATGAAATTGCTTTATTTCTAATGGCAGTTCTTGTACAGGTGGCAATGCGCCCTAGGGTATGTGAGGGCCCTCCGCCGCCCCTCTCCACTCGACTCTTTGGTGTACTGGCTAGCGCATCGGACTGCGGGGCGGACCATCCCTGGTTCGATCCCCGTCCGGTGCGACCCTCTTTGCTCTTTCATCGATACCAGCTTTCTCCAGCCCTTTAAGAAACCTTTTCAGTAAGACTCGCTAGAATTAAAGGGGCCTGGCAGTCCGGCCAATTTCTAACGGCCGAATCAATCCGATAATAGTTTTAAAAATTAGGCAGTTATTACATTTAGATAATTTTTTCAGTAACTATGATTTGCTATTACCAGAATTAAATCTTGTATGAAAAAATACAAGATACGATAAGATGGCTGGCCAAGCCGGAAAATTCACACGGCGCTGCAATCTCTACTAACCAAATCCGGCAGCTTCCGAGAAAAGGATGTCTGCCATAGACAGCCCGACGCCTCGGCCTTTGTGCTTTTATTTTCACCTTTTTTCAGACTAGAATATAATTTGTCGGGCCCCGAATTCGTGATATATAATCTTTTCTGGTTGGCTGGTTCGGGACGCAACAACGGCTAGGGCGGGGGAATATTAAAAATATAGCTGATGAATGGGAAAATCAGCCATGCGAAAGTGCCATAGACGAAAGCAAGTCGACTGCTTCGTTGAAGATGAAGCTTGGAGAGTAAAATTTAAAGGGATAGGCATGGTAAATCACGAAATTATTTATCAAAATTAAATCAATAATAAAGTCATTTAAAAATCAGGATCCAATGTCCTGAAAATTTGCTAATTCCAAAGGACGTCCGGCTCGAACGAAGCTCGTGCATAAGGTATAGAGCCATCGAACGCCGCGGGGGTCAAAATTTTTGGGTGGCTGGTTCACTGAAGAGAACTATGTAATAGGCCAGAAAATCTAAAATGTTACATTTTTGTTTTGCCTTGCCGGGCTCTTTAAACCCAAAAAACTAGAACTAGAGAGCCTAGGTATAATATGTTCTTATTACGGGGTGGTTGAGGCCCAATGACGAGTGGTAAGCTCTTTAATTGGTTGTACGGAATGTATATGGCTCAAAAAACTATGAAAAGGCCAGTCATAGTTTGACGTCCCTGCCCCTTTAAAACGCCAGCCATAGCTAGAAAAGAAAAATACTAAAGCCCATCGAAATTGAAGTTGAAGGCGGAGGTATGAAGTCTATGTGTGAAGCTCTCGTCGTGATCTCATCACTTTAGAGGTGTCCACTTGTGAGCCCATGAGGGGGTCCTGGCCCCTATATGGCTGAGGGGGAGCATGTCCTCGAAGTGCCATCGCCCCCCGACACACACGAGGCCCCAGAATTAGATCCTCCTCCAAAAGACAGACAGACGCACAAACACGCACATACACACCCACAAATCTCCAAAGAAGAGACGAGAACATACACACACGGCAAGCAGTGGCAGAGGAGGAGAAGAAGAAGCAGCCAACGCATATAAATTCATTATCGATGGACCCCCGGGCCAGCCGAGAGTGGGTGGTTGGCTTGCTAAAAAGTGCCCTAGATTGCGATGGGGAATCAGGAAGGGTGGATATTTAGGAGCAGGTGGGCTTAAGGTATCTCCAAGCCATCCAAAGACCTTGAAAGAGTCAACTTGCCGGAACTAACAAAATAAAAAATGGCGAAAAATGAGGTTGTATCCCGGTTTCTGTCTGCCTTTGTCTTATTTTTTTAAAGGGATGACGATGGCATATTCAATCGGTTACGCGCTGAAAAGAAAATGTCTCTGCGCCTCGCCACAAGACGCGCTCTCTGCCCTGTTGGTTACTTGCCAATTTGTTGATGGGGGGGAACGACACATGCGGTCGGCGGCCCTTTAATCACACTGAGAGCCCGGGAATCGGCCCCATTATTCAAACTAGATTTTTCTCAAGCGTCATTTAGCGTGACAAGTAGCTGTCGAGGCCTGGTCGACTGGGTGGTCGATTTCGATGCTGCTTGGCCTCCTTAAAGTCACTAAACTCTTATCATAAAGAAATTTTCCTTGCTTTATCTAGGTATAAGCTAAAATAACTATTGTCCTTGGATCCAGGGGAAAAATCTTCGAACTATGCAATCTTTCAGAAAGCTCTGTAAAATTCTGAAAAGCGTAGATACTTCAACGCTTTATCGACAATTTATCTCCTCCACCCAAATATATCATTATTAATATTATTGTTTTGTTGCTGACCGTTCATATACGGATTGTAAAAGTAGTTTTGCGGCTCCCCGTTCGGATCTATCGGATCGTAGTGATGGTTCGAAGGAAAAGCGCCATGTCCGATATCGTAGTAGCCGTCATTCACCTGGTCGTAATTTGTATACGCGTAGTTGTTATAACGAGCGCTGTCGTAGCCACGGTAGGCCTAAAATTTGCATTTTTATAGCTATTTAATAATCTTTAAAAATAGAATCACAAAACCTACGTATGGATTGGAGCCATAGCTACCATAGCTACCGTAGCCATTGGTGTTATAATTCCTATAGCTGGGCTCATAGTAGTAATTATTATTCATAGAGCTCTAGGAAAGCAATCTTTACAGTTATTTAATCACCTACCCCATAAGCTCTTCTCGAATTCCGTTTCACGAATATTGACGGTTTTCCGGAGCCGATAGGTGTTGGCTAAAACTTTTTTTTGAACATTTTATCACTTTGCACTTACAAAGTGCCCGGGAGCGACCCCATTTCCAATGTCCAAATTAAGTTTTGTTGGGTCCTAAAAATATTGAGATTGACATAAATATGTAAAAAATTACATCTATATGCCCTGGATCGTTTCGTTGGGGGCTGACGCCATTTCCGAGGTCCTAAAAAGCCAATTTTTCGCTTAAAAATAATTTACCGTATTTGTAGGTATCGCACCGTTCGGCGCAGCAGAAAGTACTAAAAATACTACAATTAGTGCTATATGGAAATGGCATACCTGGTAGCAAAACCGCTAGAATCAGTAGCATTGCGGATTAAAAAACGGCGTAGTTCCGAGACAATACTGTAGAACACCTGGGTCATTTTTCCTTTATATCACCCATTTTAAGGACTTCCCAGGGCCCTGACCAATATCGGCAAACAATCTAGGGGCCCGGGTAAGCCAATAGAATGACTCATTGGCCGATAAAGCCCCACTTGAAGCTCCAAAGACTCAACGCTTTATTTGTCTTCGCGAATTTGGTAAGGAATTGGCAGGGAGGGTTTTTTGGGCGAGTAGTAGTGAGAAAGTTCATAGAGAAATCACGGTAGGATGATATCAGAAAATTCCTCGTGATTACATGGAAAAACACGACACTTTATCAGCAGCTCCCGACAATTCATCATCGAGAGAGAGAGAGAGAGAGAGAGGGAGAGAGAGAAAAAAAGAGAGAGAGAGAGAGAGAAAAGAGAGAGAAGAGAGAGAGAGGGAGAGAGAAAAGAGAAGAGAAAGAGAGAGAGAGAGGGCGAGAGTGACTTAATGAACCCTCTGAATTGGTGAGTCGTATTAGAAAAGGTCAAAGTAAAACCAGAACAAGGGTATGGAAAGAATAGGATATAAGATCCTTTCCGGCGTCATAGCTTTCCTCAATGATCACTGCTAGCTGACCATGTGCCTTGTTTCCATAGACATAGTGACATGGTTTTATTAAGAACAATTTTCACGAATTATGCATTTTCCTCTCGTCTCTCCAGCACCACCCGAATTCCTCGATGTGGTTTCGTGACGATCTCGGTCTCCAACTCATTTTCGTGGAATCCGATTGTCGCCCGGATTTTGTAGTTCTTGATGATGTGCATCACCATCACTTTCTCTTCGAGGAGGGCGAAGCGTTGACCTAAAGATTGCGTTAGCTACAAATTACAGATACCATAAAAATATCCTCACCTATACAATTCCTTGGTCCTGCCGAGAATGGGATATAATCATAGGGATTATGGTCCTTTTCTGCATTCAAATCAAACCGCTCTGGCTTCAATTCCAACACATCTGGGCCCCAGACCTGAAAAACATTACGCTAATTACAAAGTTCCTGGTAAGACTTTACTTTACCTCCCCCCCCCCCGTCAGCCGAAGGGTCTCGAAGTTTTCGGTATTTTCGCTTATGTTATTAGGATTTTTGCAACGCCATTCGATAGAACGTCGAAAAATATACTAAGAGATTTAATTTGAATCTACAATAATGTTAAATAAAAAAATTATAGCCAAAAAATTCCGGCTGGGGTGGGGGTAAAGTAAATTGTAGCAACATTCCTGCTGACCTTCGGATTCCTTTGAATAACGACAGGGGCTATTAAAATGGTGCAGCCGGCAGGCAGAACATACCTTCCTAAATGAATTCCTTCTCCTAACGACTATCTTTTTACCTACCTGAAGTAAAATCATTTTGCAGGTCACGTTGTATCAGTGGTACCGGTGCAAAAATCCGATTTGACTCTTTCATCACGGTTTCAAAGTAGGGCGTGTTTTTGTAGGTGTCCATCGTAATCTCGGTGTCGGTATCATCTAAATTTTTGCGTTTTTAGCAACTCAAACAAAGCGCATACCGCTTATCAAATGCCTGATCTCGTCATAGACTTTTTCCTGAATTTCCGGGTGGCAGGCGAGAGACCATAGAATCCAGGCAATACCGGAAGACGTAGTGTCGTGCCCTAAAGTTGCGGTTGGAAAATGCAAAAAAATGTTAATGAATTGGCACAAGGTTAGGCGATAAAACATTGTATAGATACCTTCAAACATAAAAGTGTCCACTTCCTCTCGTATGTCTTCGTCGTTCATATTATTTTCCTGGTTGGCCTCCAACAGCAAATCCAGGAATGTCTGTTTGGTGCCCAACTTCTTCCGGTCCCCTTTCGCGAATTCGGCTTTTCGCTGCTTGATGACCTAAACCCAAAATTGATAATCTTACGCGTATTTTTAAGCAGATGCAAAATGGTGAATGGATACCTCCTTCGTAAAATCTGTCAGTTCCTTTACGACACGATCAAACATAAATTTTCGTCCGGATAGGTACCAGAACGGCGGGAACCTGAGGAAAAAGTTAACAGCAGTATGATATTGGGCTAAAGAAGAGAGTGGGAGAGCGAGAGTAAAGCAGAGAGAGAGAGAGAGAGAGACAGAGAGAGGGAGAGAGAGAGAGAGAGAGAGAGGGTAGTACCAGTTGATCGGATTCAAAGCCCATTCCAGCGTCAACCATCCCATATCCATTAAGGCTTTCACGTAGGAACAGTTCTCATTTTCGAGCGCGTTTACCGAGACTCCCATAGCACTTTCTGAACGAACCTTCCAAAAACATGAGCTGTAGACCTACCGCAGATAATATCCAGAGCGCAATGCTTTACGATCGGAAACAGGTCGACCTCTTTTCCGTTGTATTTTTCGAGGTATGTGCAGAGCTTCTAAAAACCAAGACCTATCCAAGAGCCAAGTCGGCTTACTCGGCTTTCCCGATCAAAAACAGTTGCATATCCGTCGAGCATTTTGAAGTGAAAAGTCGGCGTAAGCATCCTTCTGCGACTTTTCCATTTTGCGCCAGTACTAAAATTTTTGTCTTTCTGTAAAATTCTTGGAAACAGCAAAGAGAGAGAAAGAGAGCGAGAGAGAGTGAGAGAGAAGCGAACAAGAGCTAATGGGTGTCTTTTTACCTCGTCAAAAGTCCAGTACCGATCCAAGGTTCAATAAAACGGTAATCCACTCCCTTCGTAATCTCACTATTCGAATCGAGGATCGGCTAAATTTGAAGGTTATTTTAAGTCTTTTAAGTTACACCTTGACCCCCTCAGCATTGAGCGGCAAGACGAAATACTTTGCAAACAACTGCAGCTTCATCATGCAATGGCCAGCCTCCTGGGCCTTTGAAGCCTGCTCTTGAAGCCAGTAGGGTAGTTCTTAAAAAGGGCTTTTAACATGTTTATTGCCGAACAAACGAACTCCACGTTGGCAGCAATCCAAGTTCCAATCCATTGCCAATAACGGGCCAGCCTGGTGGGCCCCAAACGCCCTTCAACCCAGAGTGAATTCGATGCCAATTTTGTATGAATTTCAGGCATCTCAAAAATAGATAGGCCAATATCACGGTAAAGCTGAGAAGTAGGTAATTCATTTCCTGAAAAAAATTGGGGGCTTAACTTTGCAATCTGGGGGTGGTCGGGTGGGAAAGGGATGTTTTCTGGTCGCAAGCAGGAGATGGCTTAACAAGTGGGTAAGCAAATATTGAGAGCCGTAGTCTGCTCGATAGGAGGACGAAAAATGATAAAGGAGAAACTGTACAGATAAATAGAATATCTCTGAGGAAGGAAATAGAGATAACGAAAACTTTTGTAAAATTTCGGTTGCGAAGATGTTGATTTTCAAAGATGCATAGACACGCAAATCTTTAATGGGAATTTATTGACCCTTTGGCAATTATTTAGTAGAGTAGAAAGGCGGGGGGTTTACACACTTCACTCCGGGAAATTGGAAAATTCGGCCTTTAGACGCTGTGTAATTTTTGTTACTTAAGAACCTGAATAAAATGTTTGAAAAATTCTTGCTGATTCAAGGGAAAACTACGATTTTAAATATCAAAAATGACCACTTTAATATATCAACAACCTACCACTTCCACTGAAATATGGATAACCTTCCCTTTCCGAGTATCCCGACACGATTTTCGGAAAAGATAAGCCGTTTTTGAGGCAAAGATCGGAACCGATACTCGCGCGTAGGCAAACAGGAATTGGCCATGACTTTCGGACAGGGATCACTCAAGCGTGGATACAATTGGGGACGAGGGTCTCAAAAAGATCCCGAAATGGCATGGAAAACACACTTTTCACCTTGAAATTTACACCATTACTTGTGTCTGAAAGAGGCCTTTGGCATTCCTTTAAACTGGCATTTATCAGTTTGTTAGCATTGGGGAAAAACCATAGTAGAAATCGAAAGATGGACAAGCAACTGTAAACTGTTAAAAAAGCGCCTTCGTACATCGTATTTTCCGGTGAAGCCCATACTAAAAAGCCGCACATCATGTCATGGAGTGTTTCTCAGGATGGCAACGATTTTTGGCCAATTCCTGGCCCTGCCATGCGTTATCAATCTTCATCAACGGGTTTCCCCGAGGCAGTGGAATTGCCATTTTTATAGCCATGAACGCTGGCCAAACTAGAGTCGTTGACTGCGGCTAGCAGTATTCAAGTAAATGTTCCGTTACTAAATGAAAAGGTTCTTTCAGTCGAGTATTCTCAGCATTAGGATTTCAACGTTCTCCTGATAAACCTCTTCGTCATGACATTTCGGCTAATTATCGTTTTTTTATTGATTGATTTGCCTTATAGTCTTATTAAAAAACAACAATTGGCGCAAATCAACGTTTTTCAGCTTTGCGTCTTTCAAGGGTTGATACAGCCGACGGCATTTCCTGGGCCGCACCTTCATCTACAAAAAATTTATGTTTTGCGAAACTCACATACTTTTCCCGCACATGAACGTGAACATGTTTGATCCCACAATTGACCGCGTTCCGGAAAGTCTTGAATAAAAATATTGCCAGGCAACAGTTGCTGATCGAGTGGATAGCGACGAAAGAGGGAGTCAACGAGGCTACTATGAAAAAGTATTTGAGCTAGCGATCTACTTGCTCAACTCACTGCTTGTCAATGGCTGAAAAAGCAGCCACTGCACGTTGTTCATAAAATAAACCAGTGGAAAAAGACCGCTTCGCGGCCATTTTCCACTGGACCCTGTCCAGGAACCCTGGAAGGAATGGTGACCGGGGTGCATAAGATGGTTACGGCACTTATTAGCTGGACCGGCGTAAAAAAATAGGTAGACTAATTCGCAACCTGTAAAAAGAAGGTTCTCGCAAACTCATAGTGCATCTTCTGGGTACGTTTGCTATTTGTTGATTTTACGGTTTGGTTCTCTCGTTCTGCACCAGGAAAGATTGGTTTTTCATTGAGCCATACATGGTTGTCGCATCCAAAGAAAATTGGCACAACTGGAATAAATTTTTCCTACCGTGTAAAAATAAAGCTTTATTAAGGAAAAACACTCAGTATAAAAATTTAGAAATGCATTCAGACCAGGAAAAGTTACAGAACTTCATCTTCTATAGCGCCCGCCATCCGTCGCACGGCGTACAGCAGCAGAGATTTTTGTCCAGCTTTTCGAGCGTGGACACGTCTTCTGGGGAGAGTTTAACCTAAAATTCGAGTGTAAAAATGCTTCCTGATTGTCCAACAGCTAATCGAATCGGTTTACGATAAAATCAGAAATTTTAACCAACCTGTAGCGTCAGCTTCAAGTTATCACGAATACGACTAGGTGTCGCCGACTTTGGGATAACACCGACCTTGTTGTAGAGCGGGAAAGCGTAAAGAATCGTCTACAGACATATTTTATACGAATACGGTCGTATTGATCCGAACCTGTGGCGAGACTTTGTGCTTCTCGGCGATTTGCTTGAGCACGATCTCTTCCCAAATATCCTTGTTCTCCCAGAGGAGGGAGGAGAAGGCCTAGAAACCGTGAGTTTGAGAAAAAAAATCGTTGTTGTTACCTGGACGAAAATTCCCTTCAACTCGCAGAAATGTTTGAGGGTAGGGCGGAGGTAATATGGATGGTATTCAAATTGGTTGACGGTGGGGAGGATCTGAAAAAGCACTTGAAACGGAAAAAACTCAGCGATACCTTTGCATACTCAAAAAGCTCGACAAGGTGGTAGACCTCGTAGTTTGACACGCCGATCGAACGAATGGTGCCTTTTTCTAAAGCATTTGTCTGGTTACCGATCAGGTTGGAATACAAACTACAAAAAAAAATACATGTTCGTGAAAATGCTATGATTTTATTAACATGAAGCTATACGTTAAGCTACGGTATACCATGCAACTCCTCCAGCTTTTCCCAAGTCTTCTTCCGCGCCTCCATATTTCCCTCATAGTCTTCATGTTTTCCGTGATCGCGATCTTTCGGGAAATGGACGAGCACGAGGTCGAGATAGCTAAAAAGAGGTTATAATTAAAAGTTTCATTTTAATACCAAAACTTGATTGAGGTATCGTATAGAAATAAGACGTCTGAAACGTACTCGGTCTTCAAATCCTTGAGCGACTGCTTGATGCAACTTTCAACAGTCCCAGTCGGGTCAGCGTTAATGACCGGGACTTTTGAAGTAATGAACAGGTCTTCACGGGTAAGGTCCAGTGGTCCCAAGCTTTTCTAAGGTATCTGTAGACATTTTAGAAAAATAAATTACCTCCAAAGCCTCCCCAATCTGATGCTCATTTTCATAGATATGGGCCGTGTCGATTAGACGATAGCCAGCCTCCAAAGCTGCATGAATCGTCGCATCCATCGCGGCCTGGTCCTTGTTTTGAGCGGTTCCTAAAAAGATTGATCTATCGATTATCTATCTGTTTAATTTATTTATCTTCCATCATACATTTTTAATACCTTAGAAAAATCAATTTGCAAACTAAAAACTTTATTTAATAACTATAGATAAAATATTCCTTACCCAATCCTATCCACGGGATATCGTTTCCATTATTCAACACATGCGAGCCGCCAAGAACATTTTGAAACTTTGCGGTGAAGGTTTTCGTTGTCTGCGCCATTTCTGAAACTATAACTAACATTAAGGTTATTTTTAATGGATAAGGCGATTCAAAGTGGGTTTAAGGTTTAGCACAACTCAATTCTTGGATTATGCGCATTACAAAGAGATAAATGTATGGAAAAACTGAATAAGGCCATTCCAGACATTGATATAAAAAATTGAGAAAACTATTTAGAGCAATAGTAACATCATTCTGAAAAACTCAAGTCAAAAACTATCGAAAAATCGAAGAAATGAGGGTTGTTGTGCCGGGCCGGGGGTTCGTAAACATTTGTGGCGGCGGCTCTTTATGCGCTGAGGGGCTGTTGTATTCCCTCTGGTCTGTTGTATTTTTGTGCTCGGCACCAGAAAAACACATCTGCCCTATCTTCAAAGGTTTTTCTTTTTTTTTTTTTTTTTTTTTTTTTTTCCTTCATAGAGTCCGAATATAGCCGCTTTTTGGTCACTTGGGAACTGTGAAAAATTCGAAAGGTTCTGAAAAAGGTTTCGCCTTTTACAGCCCCGAAACCGTCTTTTCCTTCTCACTAACCTGAAATTATGTTCGTTGACTTCCGGCCCCCCAGAAGCTGTCTCGAAAACTAGAGCCGTCTTTTCCACAATTTCTTACAGCGCACGGAATCTTTGTGAGGCTCTTTTTTTGATTCTAACTTCGCTGCCTTAATTGAACGGATCGCATGGAGGTACTGGTGTAAATTTTACATGCCACTGTTTGTTAATCAATTTTTGATCTTTATACAACAGGCCTGAAAAATAATTACAACAATAATACTCGTAAGTTAAGCCCAATCGTGAAGCAGATGGGATTCCGAGGAACCAGAAGCAACAAAAGCTACAGCAGTGTACAAATTACAGGCATCGCCACGGGCAGCACCCGGGGCAGAAGGCTCGGTCTTGGTCGAGCGCCTGGAGGGCCGAGACTTCTTCTGGGGATAGGTGGACCTAAATAGACCGGGATAAAGCCAATAGGTTACTAATAAAACGCTTAAAAACCCATTAAAGGCATAAAATTATTACTTGAGCGGTTAGCTTCAAGTTGTCGTGGATGCGTTGCGGCGTCGCGGATTTTGGGATGATGCCGACATTAGTATGGAGAGGGAATGCATAGAGGATTGTCTAAAACGATAAGAATAGTTTATTTCGTAGATTCAATCAAGTTCTTTTCTTCTCTCTCTCTCCCCTCTCCCTCTCCCGCTCTCTCTCTCTATCTCTATCTCTCGCTCTCTCTTTTTCGCTCTGTCTCTCTCTCAGTCTGTCTCATTCTCACTCACTCTTTCTCTTGACTCGCTCTCTCTTTCTCTCTCTGACTCGCTATCTCTTTCTCTCTCTGACTCGCTCTCTCTCTCCCTCTCCCTCTCTC